TGATGAAAATGGTGCAACTAGGTGCAAGGTACCAGGACTCGGATTTTGTCAATTCTATTTTCTATAGGTAAAATCTTACCACAAAAACATTGCACTATTGACTTTTTTTCTTTTTTAATTTTTTTTTTTTTTTTAGTTCGTTTGTAAAAAGTCAAAAAAAGCAATGGAGAGGATTCCAAAGCAATAGTTAAAAAGTAGGGTCCTTTAAGAGACCGAGCACTGAAATCGCAGGTAATTTGATAAGTAGAAATTGTATGAATACAATCAGTGTAAGACATTGAAGGTTATCTGACCTTTCGAATATCATTTATTTCTCGGGGAAGCAAGCCAATGTTTAAAGCTACAAGATGTAAGCAACATCGCTACTTTGATGTACATTATCGTAGTTTCACCATTGAGACCTGGTGAATCCAGGACAGTGAAGGGAAACTTTTTATAGCACTTGCGTTTAAGTCCCGACACGTTTATTTACCCGTGGCTTCAACTCTTGATTAATACTGTGCGAATATGTGACACTGAAACGCACATACATGCATCGTCAGTTCACGTGCAAGAGCAAAACAGCGCACTTTACCATTCACTGTTAAAGCGTCTTGATTGGTCCAAGGACGCCGTGCATGAAATTAATAATCTGCATCAGTGCCCTCCTTGAAATGAACAACGTTTTGCAAAAGAAGACCTAATTTTTCAGGTAAAGTAAGATAATTTCGTAAACAAACAGTCATCAGAGATTCGTATTATTTTCTTCTCATATTGAACATCGGAAGACCAATAAGATGCTTAGCTTTCATCTTAAAAAAATAAATAAAAAAATAAAAAAAAAACTTTTTACCGCCAACGTTATTACTCATTGTAGGACATAAAGCACAGTTACTGGTTTGCAACATTATCGTTCAAGCTTCATGATCATAAGATTCAAATGTTTTGCGTGTAAGACATGCTAAAGCATCGTTCGTAGAAGTAAAATTGATGAGTTTCAAAAAACAACCGTTAATTTGATGAATATGCTATTAGATGTGAGCTAGACTTGTGATCTGATGGCGCTTGTCAAAATCTTTTCGCAAATCATATTGACCTAAATTCTCTGTATCTCATTGAACAACGAGGAGTCGCTGACTGATACATTGGCGTAGCTGGAGGCGCATTCCTTCTATCCAAGAATTAATATTTGTCATGCCCCGTCAAGTCTGTTACTTTTGTTTAAATGGAACACTGTTGTGCGCGATCTGATACATAATTTTTTGACAGCCTTTCATTTTTTAAACGAATGGGAAACATCCTCAATTCTGTGGTATTCTAATGACTGACGTATCTTGAGAAATAAGATGAGTCAAAATCGTGTTGAATTTTCAATAATGCCTATTGACTAAACGGTGATTAATCACGATGGCTAAAGTAAAAAAAAGCGTATCCTCGATTGTAAAATTGCAAACCTCAGCTCATGTTTTCGTTAAAAAAAAATACTAATCAAGAATTTTCCTTAAAACACTGTGAATTCTCTTTAATCATTGAATGATATTTAGAGACAATTTTGAATGGATTTTTTGGTTAGTTCATTACTTGAAAGAAAATAAAACATGATTGGAAATTTTTTACAGTTACAATAAAGATACACATGCTTATAGGCAGATCCACACATTTTGAACGTGAGCGGCGTAAAGGGGACCCAGGGGTTTCCTCCCAGAAAATTTCCAAAATTTTAAAAAATCCAATATGCAGTTTGAGTCAATTCCGTCATGCATAATTACCGAATCTAAGTGCCCTTACTTCTTCTTTCCTTCGTATCCCTACCCTCTTTTTTGTTACCTTTATCTTCCTCTATCTTTCGTGCGAACGAGAGGGGGAGGGGGTGGCGTACCCCCCTGCGCCCCCCTGGACCCACCATAATGTGAATGTTCAGACTTTAGCGATCGTTATACAGCACACAGCAATGTCACGAATATTGTGAAATGTTTTTCAGGGCCGGATGAAGGGGGTGACCACATGGGCCGCGGCCCATAGTGGCAAATTTATATGGGGCGGCATTTTTTGCAATTTTTTTAAATGTAGGTATAAAAAAAATCGGATTTAGAAAAAAAAATTACTAACGAGAAAAGGCGACAAAATCTCTCATTTCCATGAGAGTATCGTAATTTCTAATTGTGTCGTCTTCCAGTGATACAAGAGACAGCACCTTCAATCAGTCGAGTTAAGAGAGAAACCAAACACGCAATTTGGCCTGGAACGGCGCGACTTGTAGAGAAATGATGACGAGGACTTGAGATGAAAAGGAGAAGCTCTCGGTGTGGCGATCGGCATTTAACATATATTAGCGCCTACAAGACTGCACGAATACTTCACGCATTGCATCAAACACAGTCCGGTCAGCGTGAAACGCATAGCGCCTACAAGACAGCGTGAATACTTCACGCATTGCGCCAAAAACGGTGCGGTCTGCGCGGCGGCGGAAGTTAAAATCATTAATCCACATTTATGTTTGTACTTTCATAAGTTTTTTGTTCATTTCTTAAGAATGGAGGGGAGGGCCTTGTCCACTCAGAGATAGGTTTACAAAACTTAACTTTCGCGCAAAGTTCCGTGAACTTTTGCTAGTAATGTTGCCAGGGCTTTCCCAAAAAATGTATTCAACGCTAGTAAACGCGTCTTATGCACCCTTCCCCCGCTGGCACGTTCATTAGATGGTTTTTATTGATGTTTCAAAACGAATGAGAGGGGGACGGTAAAATACAGGCGGCCCATGGGCGGCAAGTAGGTAAATCCGGCCCTGATGTTTTTGATATTTCATTAACACATTGTCATACATTTGTAATGAATGTGTAAAAAATTAAATTAAGGTATTACAAATAGTATTTAATGACAAAAAATGTGCACACAACTGCATGGCATAATAATTTTACATGCATGCTTGTTTTTTAATATTAAATAATATGCTGCGATTTACTCTGTTCCGTGCATCCTCTGCAAAAATGGGTCTACTGCGGCGCCGAATTCTGATAAAAAACTTTACAAAAATATGCAAGTTTTGTACACCATCATTTAACGTTCAACAGGAGAATTGAAATCACCCGGTCAAACGAAAAACCCAGACAAAATATAAGAGTGTAAGTGTCCATGATGATTCCAGTTTGATCATAAACTAGATTATGATTCTGTTATTCTCAACACCAAAGTAGCTTGTGTTGATTTCTCGAGAGTTGCGAACTGTGAGCGCTTGACTTTCAAATGGTCAACGCTGAAACCTGTTCTTTTCATAGAAACTTTTCAGAAAGCCGAACACTTATCGTAAAGGAGGCCTTACACCGTTGAAGCACATACAATTTCGTATTCCAATAATTCGTCGCGTCGCTGAGATATCAACCACGGAAGGAAGCCGCCCAGACACGAGAAAAGGCTCATAAAAACCGAGGAAATGGTTTGAAGCGGAACGTGTCTATCGCGGGGAATGCGAGAAAAAAATGCAATTACAATGTAATTTCACTTTTGCAATATCAATGGTGTTTGACCGAGTGCAGAATTGAAACGGACAGGCAACGCTGGTTGCAGTGTTGCTTCAATTAGAGAAAAGTACTTTTATGAATCCCTCATCTTGTTAAACGTAGACTTTTTTTATCAGATTGATAGAAATAGCTGCTGATTTAATTTGTTTGATTGGTGCGATTTTCATTTTAAGACTAACTTTAGGCACTAATATTGAAGTATAGTCACTCGCATAAATACTCTCTTACTAGACTATGCAGAATTTTAGACTGATTTTACAAATCTTGTATTTTAGCTACATTTTTTTAAGAGATGAGCAACTTGATAAAATTTGCTTACCAAAAAATAAAATCAAAATTTCGTTGTTTGTCATTATCATTAGTTAAAAAAAAGTTTCGCTAAATAGTTGTTGAAATTAAAAGATATTACATAATTTTGGGAATAATTGAATTGTCAGTCAAACCTGTAGAATCATCCAACATTCAACTATATGGCATCATATCAAAATTATTATTTTGGTCTAATTGAAGTGTCATTTAGGTTTTAATTTCAAAATTCGTTGCAAAATTGGACGTATATCTACCAAACGGAACCATGTGCATTATGACGAGAGCCCGGTTATGCATATATCTTTATCTGTCTCAGGGCTCATGTCTCAATGCACATAGATCCGTTTGGCAGAAAAACGTCCAATTAATAAATACAAAACAAAGGAATAAAACATTGAACCGAGTACAGCTATTTTTCGCAAGGAAAACGGGAAACAATTTTTGCACGAGTTGGCATCATTGGTATTGAGCGGCGATAAGTCCGCGGAAAACGCGCCACGCGCCTGTCGCGCCGGACGGAAAAACTAATCAGGAAGAAAACCGATCGTCGGACATTCTCACGAACGAAAATTGATGATTCGCATTTGCAGTGGAGGCCGGCTCGTCGAGACGGATCTAGAAAGTGTCTCATCTCTCTCTTGGGCCCCAAGAGTCCGCACGGCAGAAAAGGACGCGAGACAGATCGGAATCACGTGCATGTGTCCTTTATCAACCCGCTCGCCGGGATGGGCGCAGAGCGAGACGGCAAACTCACGCGACGACCGGGCCGTTTTCACTTTTCATCTGATGAAACAGGACTCAACGGAAAGGGAAAGGCCGGGCATGCGCACGGGAACCCGGGAAAAACGAGGAGTAATTGATAACCAGGAGAGGACGATCGGAAAAGATAAGCGGGTAAATTACAACATTTGCGGGTGGGGGCGCCCGGCGGTCCCCCACCAGCGGAGAAAACCCCCCGGAAGAGGGGGAGCCCCGCCCGGCACCTCGCGCGGTGGGAACCCGGGAGAGAAAAATTGGGGCAGTATTTCCGTGGGGAGGGGGGGCGGGCGGAAGGAGAAAAGAGAAATTACCCGGCGAAAAGAACGCCTTACCTTTTTCATTCATCCACTCGCTTTTGACCGGCTCGTAAAAAACCCACTCACACACGGGCGGCGCACAAACACAGGCGCATTTATATATATACTCCGGGGGTCATTATTGGCTCAGTTGTTAGTGGATGCTAGACCGATGAGCAGCGCGCGGTTCAGTTGACGGTTCCTCCTGTTTCGTTTCGCGTTTCCGTTCCGAGTTCACGTTCTCGAGTCATCATGTTGATACACAGTGCTTTAGTGCTTTTCTCGGGAGTGATGGCCGTGTCGATGGTGGCCGCCTCGACGGTTCCCAGTGCCGCCGACGGGAGCTTCAGCATTGTTACGAAGTTGTACGACGAATGTTCGGCCAAAGATTACAGTTTGAGCACGTGTTTTAAGATGAAGGCAGTGACTCTGTTCGACCGGGTGGCCCGCAGTGATTCCATTCCGTTCGGCGAGCAGCTGTCCTTCGTCAAGGAGGAGAAAGACCGACAGGACTACGGCCGCGCCATCACCGAAAATGATCTCGAGTCCAGCCTGGCCTCCACCAGCGAGGAACAGAAGGATACCACCCTTAACTCCATGCTCTTGGACCGAGTTTCCCGCTTCATGAACAGCCATACCATCAAAATTAGTTTACCCAAATTGTCCTCTGAGGATCTCTCTAGGAGTTTAGAAGAAGGTGAGTTTTCCGGGAAATTCTCGAACAACAAATCACATGTCCTCTAAGGATCACGTTAATTACAGTCTCACAATCGGACTGAGTTCATTAGAAAGGAACCGAACCATTTTTCGGAATAATTGAGTTCAGAATGTTTGTGAGTTCCACTAGTCGTTTACATTCCCCTGCCAATAACCAAAAGTCGAGAAACAAAATTACTCTGTATTAAGAGTATATTAAAGTATATTATTTACATTGAGCCTGGAGAAATAAAACTTTGTATCTCTTTTTCTCAGTTTTAACTTCATGTGGATCGGTTCCTTGCTATTAAACTCGGTCCAAATGTCAAGTATCTGGAACTATTTTATTATCAGATACCTGGTAGTTTCATTGGATATCTTGCATTGGGTTTATTGAGGGAGTATACTGTGTTGTATCATTACCGAACAGCTTCTTCTAATGCGCAATTTTACCCTTACTTCATTGAATTTCGTTAAAAGTTTACAAGAAGATTACTACTATAAGAAAATCTTCCCAACATTTCACACGTGTATTGAGGATCATGTGTTGAAAAAATCGCTTAAGAGTCCAATGCCTGCTACTTTTTTATCACCAGATATTCATTAAATTTACTAAATACTAAATACCTAAGACTCAATGTTGATTTCTGGAGAGTTAAAAAGTGACGCAGTTTGGGTAATTGGTTCCGTCAATACTTAATCGCAGATATAAGTTTTTCTGAAAAAACTTCTATTATTCATCACCGTTTTTACGACTAAGGGTCTTAAATATAGTTTTATCACTACTTTGAAAGTTTTCCAGAAAAACTTTTAATCATGTCCTGCGGAGGTCTCTAAATAAAATGAACAACTAAAGACACGACATTGAAACTTCACGGCTGATTAGAAAAAAAGGCCCGCTAAATCTTCGAAAACCTACCCTTTTATAGCCTAACATTTTTTAAAACTACGGAAGTCTTTAATTTTTTACTATAATCTCAATATATTTGCATTATTTCTTTACATAATTACAATATTTTGGTTCAGGCCGTCGAATTAAAACCAAATAGTTTATTCGGGAATGCTTTTTCTCATAAAATGATCTTCCAAATGAACCTCCAATCATAAGATTTTCGGAGATAATACATCCTTCACAATCGGTTATATTTGCCTTATTGGAACAAGAGCCAAAGGATTGGCTCGTAAACGAATCTCTTAGAAAAATTTGCTCAAGCCAAATGCTTTAAAACGCAAGGAATTTTTCTCATCACAGGTTCCTCGATTTTGCACAGCAAAAGGAAAAAGAGCCAAATTCTTTTAGGGCAAAGGCGAAGCGACAAAGCTGAGAGAGGAGGAGTCTGCAACTGGTTTGCCCAAAAAAATGTTGAGGAGGATGATTAAAATTCGCAGACTTTAATCTGAACGAATTCTTCCATTCAGAATTCAAAAACCGGCCCAATTATTATTCCGTCTAGGAGAAATATAGGCTGGCGGTCTGACCGAACATTTAAGATATGTGCGGGACTGATTGTTTTATAAATCAGCCTAATTTTTCAGCACATTTTATTTGCGGATTGAGGAAGTCTTAAAGGCGATGCAGATTAATTTCTTTTGGCTAGTTTATTGTTGCATATGATTTTAACGAATACAAGAATACTCTAGTTCCGGAAAAAAATCTTCACAGATAAATTGGGTATGGTTCAAGTAGCAAAGCAAGCATGCTTCACATTCAATTTCAGTCGTAGATTAGTAAGAACTGTGGGTTTAAATATATTCCGATTGTTTGCAATTCCTGGGAACAACAGAAATAGAGCTCGTTGATGTAATTTTTTGATTCTTCTCCCTTCAAATTGTTCTCAAGTGTTTTTTAAAAGCATTCATTACTTTAAGAACAATCGGGTAGAGAAAATCTGAGGGAGAGTACCGCTATCCGAGTATTATCTACAAAATTACCTGGGTGAAATAGTGTACGCAAAAAACAAATTGGAATGTGAAATCTCAGGAGGGGTAGTTGCGTCTACGAAACTGATATTCATTAGAGTTATTATGTTTTATTAAAACGTTTTATTCAGACCTTACATACTCAGCTTCATCTTAAACCATGACCAAGAAAGAATCAAATAGATCAATAAGCTTTTCCATTTGTTTAAACGAGCTGACAAATATAATTGAATATGAAAAGCATATCGGATAGTTATGAGAAGCCGCATGCTTTTTGCATATCTTTCTCAGGCATACTTTATTTTGATTCTGAGAGTTACAAAAATGTCAGAACCGGACTTTTTAGCGAAAAGTAATGAGATATGAAAAAATTGTTTAGAATTAAGGAAAGAAAAGGAATCGTTTTCATACTTCTATATCTGGTGCTTCATTCTTTTTTTCAAAGAAACGAAAAATTTTTACGATGGAATTTCCTGGTTCACACATTAACTGTTGTCAAATGAATGATCGATACCTTGTTGCATACGATACCTACTGCATCTACTTATGATAGGAATTAATTGCTCGATAAACTATGTTGCGGCATTCGATGTACTTCCGATGCAGGTCAGTGATCCTATCTAGCGGATCAGCAGGACCGGTTTGCCACTAGTGGGTGGCTGTGAATATGATTTTCAAGTCTCATACCTGATAGAGTTTGCAGCATATTCTATCGATGTAATGAAGTTCTTTTCTCCTTAAAATCGTATCAACATCCGCCAATCATTGTTTGCGTTACATACCCTGAAGTTATTTCCGCTCTACCAGAGATGTCGCTTTGTTTAAAAGATTGATAATTCATGACAATCTCTCTTCAGAAAATCAGCGATGATAGTAAGCTAGCGTTGTGAAAAAGAGGAGAACTAAGGGTCTTCTATTTTACAAATAAAAGAAACAAAAATGCTAATGAGTGAATATCAAGCATTTGAAAATAATTAAAGCTGTATATGAAAGAACTGTAGAGTGTTGAGGTGGGAAGAGATGTTTATCGGCCATTTGTAAAAGGACAAGTTGAGTCAAAATGCTGTCAATTCGATTTTAGAATTACGTCTAGTGGATGATCCGGGAAAATGCCTTCAAATTAGAGGGTAGGCAAAAAAGCCCACCGCAAAGCACAAATAGTTGCTCATTCGATTGATTTTATTAAAGTGACTCTACCTCCAGAGAAGAGCATCTCCCTTACGTGAGCCACCACAGAGTTGAAATACTTAAAAAGTCATACAAATTAAGCATTTTGATCAGATTTAATGTTGTAATACTTGCGCGATTTGATTAAAGATACTGTGTTCTTGTGAGCGGGAAATTCACATTTCCCGCAGCCAATGTACAAGAAAGAGTTAATATTTTAGTAAGGAGTTAATTTCAAAAATTTTCGTTGCGCGAATCGTGTTTTTCGTGGTATTTTGGTAAAGCATCACATATCAGAATGCTTCAATTTGTACCATGTCTATATGTCTATTACCGTTAGTAAATGAGTTTGAAAGTGATCTCTATGTTTCTAGCCTTGCGTTAAAGTCTCTTCAGAATTCCCTCTCACACTGCCTGTGTCCACAGAGGAAACATACACATCGATGACGTATGATAACCAGAAAGTGATTTCTATATTTCTATCCTTGCGTTAAAGTCTCTTTGGAAGTCTCTCTCTTTTCTGTGCATGTCCATACCCAAGCTTACTGCGGCTGTTGATCTACAATGGACCTCGAGAATAGATGCAAATTGAAGTATTCTGATACATGTTTTCTAATGAAAATTTCACTTAAAATACTATCCGCAACGGAAATTACTGCAAGTAACCCCTAACTGAGATTTTTGACGTTTTTTGACGCGTAAATTTAAACTTTCCGCTCACGAAAAAAAAAAAGGTCTATGTGGATCAAACTGCGCACTAACGTTACCGTAGCGGTCGCTGAGGTATGAAACTAAGGAACCTCAATCCTGGGGCTTCGGCTCAGCGGTTGCAAGTTTTCATCACTTTGAACAGCACAGGGCGAGATAGGAACACTGATAGATGAAGAAGCTTGCCATGATCGTTATAGTTGCGTGACGTAATTCAAGTAGGGTATTGATTTTCTAGTAAGTGGGGAATTCGAAATTCCCAGAACCAAAAGAAACTAAAAATGTTGATAGCTTAGTCAGGAGTTGATTTCAGTAATTTTTGTCACAATAATCGTGTTCTACGTAAAATTCTGTTTAAAAAACATGTATCTGAATGCTTAAATTCGTACTTTGCTTCTTGGTCCATTATTGAGCCCCACGTCAGCCCCATCAGCGCCCACGTGACGTGCAGTGCCTTAAGGGTCGTATTCGTAGTCGTTTATTAAACATCTCCATTATTGATAAAACAATATTTGGTTCGCACTGTAATTATGGAAGGACTAGGGAAGCCTTGAACATCGGATTGTAAAATAGACAATTTTTGCAAACCTTGAGTAAAATTTAGTGCTATAAATCTGGAAATGGATCCCGTCAAGGGATTACAATGATGTGAATGTTAAAGTAAAAAATACAAAAAATAATATTCTAATTTTGACAGCCTTTAAGGTAACTGCGAACCTGTTGTAAAATTTACAAAACTCGCAGTATAATTTATTCCGTATTCTGTACTTTTTTTTACCGGCAAATCAGTATGATCCCTCGTAAGGATCCATTTTTAGCGTCATAATACTGGATGCCACTCAAGATTTGCAAACATTTCTATTTTCAAGTGCAATGTCCAAGGTCTCCTTATTTCTCCCTCAATCACAGGCACGGTGCCCCTGAACTCACTTTAAATGCGACTTTGTTGTACATCAAAAATTCAAGTTGGAGGTTGTAGTGGGGTACTCTCTGATGGGTTTTTGGGCAATTTCGAAATAGGTTGTCGGAGCTCCTCGAAAAATAATCGCATTTTTGTGGTTTTTTAGGGGTAAAATAGCAAAATTGGCCTCCGGGCGACAAATTAAACCCCCTCTCCCTCATCCTTGCCTTGACCGATCTGAATTTTTAGTATGTTTTTACCTGATATAAGATGGGACTTTTCTGAAATTTTCATGCCAATACAAA